CCATGGGATTAGAAAAATCTTCAATCACTTTTGGTACTGCTGTCACGTATCGAAGGGAAGTGTCGACAGACTAACACGTCGCTGGTTTGGTATACTTTACCATGTTACCAATGTGCATTCGTGGGTCACTGACAGGTAATTATGCAGATTTGTCTAGATATCTTTTTTTTGATATAACTCTAACGATGTAAGTTTGTATACATGATATTGCATTGTAGTTGTATATGTTTCCATCTTTGATTATTCAGACATAGAGAAAATCAAATAATTGACGACCCATCAAGATCGTGGTTGAACAAATCAAGTACCGCGTATAAAAATCTAAGGTATGCTACAGTAAAATATATCCTTATATATTCATTGATCTCCCTTGAATTTTTATCAATATAAGATATATGAAAAACTTCAAAATATTTACAGATCTATTATCACAGATAAATATTTCCTGGGAAACCTGAAATACTACACACGGTGCAGACAAACATGGTGCATTGAGAATTTCTACTCTCATTCCTTACTGAAATATTGTCCAAAAAGAATAGGATTTAGTTTCGATTGTTATGTGATGAGAAACCAACTAGCCATCATAAACTACAACCATCATACAGGACGACCAGCGCTTACCAACTCACAGGACGACGTTTGCGGAATGCCGCAGTTCTCGAAGAAAACCAAGCACTGGGTAGCATATGAAAGGCTTGTATGTAAGAGTTATGACTATATACCAGGTAAATATAAATATATTATTGCTTTGTTTCTTTTACAGTTGAGTACATTTTGTATTTCCTCTTATAATTTCATTGAAATTATTTTTAGATCTTATGTCAGAATGCATGCATCATATATACTGTGCCAGAAACGAAGACTACAAAAAAGGTAAAAGGTCCCTAGAATTGGATGACATAGCACCAAATCTGTCGGGAGAGTCAAATCCGGAAACGACGTCAAATTTATTGAAAGAAATGAAACGAAGAAAAGGTGAAGGTAAACAACATTTTTATTCAGAATCGGAAAACGCTGAATGGTATCCAGAATATTCATTTGATGGAAATGTTGCTCTTATTGCAACGTAGGTACAAGCTGGTAATGGCTTGCGTTTCCCGGATCCCATCTTGCCATGTTGCCAGAGGATGAAATTTCTGTAAGCTTGATTTCGAAAAGTTTTATTAGAAAAGTCTGCATCTTGATTTGTTTGATGACTCCAGTTGAGAATGTTGGCAACTTCTATGACATCATGTCGCAAACATAAATTTTTGAATTCTGGCTTGGAAGTAATACATGGTGTGGTACGACAACATGTATTCATTCGAACATCCTCCATAATTTCACAATTTCCGCAACTGCACCAGCTTGGACGTGGGAGGGTGCTTGATGATTCCGAATCAAAAAATGGAAATAGGTGATCTGGAATGACATGTGCTGCTTCCTTGACTTTGTCGCGTAACTGTTCTAATGACATATTATCAACCTTTTCCTGTAATGATAAATTCAGAAGCATTCAGGAAATATTTGTGAATACGTGGATTGTTCATGAATATTATGTCAAAATATTATTTACCATTATAATTTTCTTTTTCTCTTCGTCTTCTTTCTCTGCAGGTATACACCTTTCATGAAGCTCTGTATTCCTGCTTGTTTCACCACAGTTTCTGTTGCTTGAGGAAGCATAAGGATGGTACCGTGACGTTGTTGCCCTGTTCTGTGAAGTTTTGGTCTGAAAATAAGGGCACGGAAAGCTTTAGACGTTGTCAAATAGGTTTACAGAAAACGAACAATGATAGTATTATGATATATTAGAATTAGATACATGGAAATAGAGATAAATAAAAAAATTGAGAATGATATGTTACCTTGTTATCTTGCAATTTATATCTGCATCCCATATTTCGACAGTTTTTACTGCAAACACAACTTCCACATTTTCCTCTTCTCAAACAAGGACAGCAGTTTTGTACCTGTTCCGTATCACAAAAGTCAGATTATAAAATTTATAGCAAAATGTTTTGTAGTCTGATAAGCAATGAGTTACGTCTCTTTGTTTGTTTACAATTTTGAGAGAGGACTTCTGATAATCAATAAAAGATTATGATTTGCAACAACAAATTCTTTCGATTACCAATATAATGGTGTGTTGCACTGAACGCCTTATATTATAATTCATGAAAAGGTGAGTATAACCATTTTCATACATAAAATTATGCACATGTCATGTTGTGAAATTGCAAGAGATGAAATGTCCTCGTGAAATTGAATACAGATTGCAATAGTCCATCTGTTTAGCCTATAATATAGAGTAGTGGCAAAAACCGATGGTTTTATTTGTTTATAAAGGGTTTTGAGATGAATGGAGATGGAATGGATGCAGTGGAAATGTATAAATTATATAATATTTACTTCATCGGACATATAATCTTCTTGAGCTGTGAGATGTTGTCCAGTTGAAATCAATGTTGACAGTGAAGACGAAAACACGCCGGCTCGGTTTATATATGAGGCTGCGCTACGCTTGGTTGCTTCTCAAGTTGACAAAGGTCTGTATGGCTTCAGTCAAACGATTCAAGCTGACTTAGGCCAATACAGACCTATACTTTTTTTTGTTTAGGTATTGCGCCTTTTTGTGACTTCATGTTAGCTTTAAACACGACATACTATTCAGAAATAAAGACATAACATCCAGACACGAAGCAGACAAACAAATGATAATCGAACTTGAAAATATTCCAAATCCAACTTTTAAAGAGAGAATGCAAATAGCATTAATCATTAAACTGTTGAAAGCAAAGATGAAAATGGGTATGGGAATAGCAGATGAAATACACAAAGAACTTAGAAAAAACAAACATTTTTAAACTGATTAATGGGAGGTAACACTGTTTTTTGTTTACTTCAAAGTAAAATACCAACCAGTTTATACACGGTTAGTTTTCTAGAGTATTATTGATTTAATAATTACCTTTAACTCCCGGTAACAATCAGTCGTCTAGACTATTGTTGACTGGATATACGTCACTAAATAACAGATGTTTATATTAACATATAACATTCCGCCCATGCCACGTCGGCATAGACAGACTAAACTCTCAACTATTAACACTGTCTCAATTTTGTTACGCTGGAAGAATAGGAATTTAATCATACAAAATCAAGGTATGTTCTTTGTTTGATTTAATCATAAGACTATAGGGTGGAATTAAGATATGATATTTGTTGTTTTTCAAAATATCAATTTAGTTCTATTCCAGACACAAGTTTAATAGATGTCAACATTTCATATTACGAAGAATATTTAAACCATCGCAGGCAAAAGGGGATACTACCAAACTCTGTGACAAATATCCGAGGATTCAAAATTGTTGATACAGATTTCGAAAATAGAAAAGTGCTGAAGAACAAGCGTTTTGGAAAAGGATAAAATGTGTGACGTATATCTAGCGATTCTATAGGAGCGGTCGTAACCCTTGACCATTGAACTATGAGTGGTAATAGTGTAACAGGGGAGATAACTCTGAAGTATATCTAGCGATTCTATAGGAGCGGTCGTAACCTTTGACTCTTGACCCTTGAACTATGACTGGTAATAGTGTAAGAGGGGAAATAACTCTAAAGTACATCTAGCGATTCTATAGGAGCGGACGTAACTCTTGACCCTTGAACTATGACTGCCAATAGTGTAAGAGGGGAGATAACTCTGAAGTATATCTAGTAGTATCAATATACATGTAATTGTTTATGTTTTAAATTGTATGTAAAATGTATTTATTAAAACTTACTTTGGTTTTTTGTTATTCTTCCTGCATTTCCATGGGGGTAAATGGTTTCAAATAATAGGGTAAAACCTATCTTTAAAAATGGCAGAAAAAAAATACAGATTAGATCCGATCTTTCAATTATATGATCCAATTCGTTATTCGTTTAATAAGAAAAAAGAGGATTACATTATCATATCACCATCCGTTGGCTCTAGGTCTCAACTAAATGATGGGGGTAGGGTCTCTTTCGAGATTAATTCATTATCGAATTGGTTGCTTCTGTCTAATGCCTATTTCAGATGCGATTCAGAATCAAAGACAGAACTCCCAATGGGAATCGCGTACCACAAACCAACACAACGTTAGAAAACAATTTCTTCCTATCTTTATTTACTGAAATGGTTTTGGAAGGTGGTTCAAATCCCATAGAAACCATCAAACACCTTGGGGAATTTGACACAATGTTGAAAACAGTTCTATATCCCAAAAACTACGATTCAGTCTCAGGCTGGATACCCGATGTTGGCGATGGAAGAGTTTTAAAAGACCCGGTTCCAAATGATGCAAATGAAGATAGAATGAGAGCTATTGCTCGAAACACAATAGAAAGAGTAGGACGAGCAGGTAATCACGGATTTGAAAAACGGGTACTTCAGTACAATAATTACGTAAATTGGAAGTTATATCCTTTATTCGGTCTGTTGGAACACAGAAAAGTTTCCATAGGGTTACCATATAAAATGCATCTACAAAGAGAAATCAATGATGATAAGATACTCTTTGGAGAGAATGCTTCAGATGCAAAATTAGAAATAACGTATCTCCAACTTTATATACTCGTAATAACACCATCAATTGAAGTAGAAACGAGAATATTCAACTCATTAACTAAAGATTGAAATAGCTTTTCTTTATCGTAACACGGTAGGTAGCATGACTTTAACTGGAGAATCCACCACCTGGCCAATCACTAACACTATTAAACCAGCAAGATATTTAATGGTTGATTTCAAGAAATTACCAGACTCAAAACAAGGAGTGAACATAAATATTCATATTGAAAAAACACAAGGAGATGTAACCGGTTATTGTTACTACTCGAAGAAGCAAAACATTTAATTAAAACAGCTGATAGAAGAATGATAAGAATTGAGTAAAAAATACACCCTTAAAAATGAAACCAAAAACTTTAGTTATGAAAATAATAGAAGATGTTGAAACAGATTCCCCAACTGTAATAACTTTCAATGGTAAAAATATCAACATTACAAATATTGTAAAGTCAGAGATGATATAGACTTGACACAAATGTAAAAAAGGTGGATTTATATTTTCCCTACCTTTAATATTTGCAGGTCTTACCGCGGCGGGTGCAAAAGTATAAAGGAGAAGGGGTGATTTTTGGAATAAAATAAAATAATATAAAATGGGCAAAAAATTTAATCATTCAGAAATATTTCCAAGTAACCCAATGCTCGTGTGTATATGCGGTAGTTCCGGTTCTGGGAAAACTCATCTCACTTTTAACATGTTGACAACACCAAACCTTTTAGATTTCAATTCTTTGTATATCTACACAACAACACCAGAGCAATCGTATTATCAATCTCTCAAAGCTTTAGAATATTTACCAAAGAAAGATGTTCAAGACCTATTTCATTATTACGAAGGAAACGAAAAAGTGGAAATAAAAGATACAGATAACTACATCGAAGCAAAGAATCCAACGGATATAAAAGTTTTTCTTACGAAAAATGTTAATGACCTAGACTTGACTAATATTGATAGCAATCGAAAGAACTTAATATTATTTGACGACTGCGTAGCGCAAAGAAATCAAGCTGTTCAACAAGAATTCTTCACGAAAGGAAGACATCACAACTGTCACTGCATATACCAATCCAAATCTTTTTACGGGACGGATTCTATGTTCATTAGAAAAAATGCAAATTGTTTTTTATTATTTGAATTAAACGATTAATATTTATCTCAAATCATTCAGTCGATAAATCACGGAATGGACAGAGATGTATTTAAAAAAGAATGTAAAGCTCAATGGAGAAACCCAGATGATCATGGATATGTATTCGTAAATACTAGAAAACCTGCGGGTGAAAGAGTTATGATCGACATGTGTTAATTTTATATTTTTAAAAATGAGTAGCGATTGGAATAATATTTTAAAAAGAAATAAAGAATATATCAAAGCTAAGAATATAATAAAGACCCAAGTTGAAAATAACAAATTACAACAACTCGGATTAACAGAAAATCTACAAACTCTATTTCAACCCATATTAAAATCTGAAGAGGATATTGAAAAGAAATTAGCTTTAGAATATAAACCTCCTATAGAACCCCAAAGCGATTGAATATGGTGGTATTATAATTAGGACAGTAGATGATGTAAAACATTATTTTTCAAACCCTGACCCAGATTTACCAAAGAGCATTTCAATCATTGATGAAGCGGGGTTACGGTTTAATGGATTTAGGGCAAATACCCCCGAATTTATAATCGATACAAAGGATTATATATACACATTAACGGATTAATAGATTTAATGAATGGGAAGGATGTTGTTGGTGTTGCCGATTATAAGGATTTAGTAGCATAGTCCAAATTTCTAGATGCAATAAGAAAGTCGGGACCCGAAACAAGAAGATAAAAAAAAGTTAAACTATATAAAAGAGTAATTGAACATGATGAAGAGGAGCCTGGTGATTATGCAGAAGATTATCCACCAATCACACGAGAAATAGACGAATACGAAAATATGGCATCTGGACAAGGTATAACGTTTTTATCCGACAACATCGAGGAACTACTTAATAGATTACGAGTAATATCAGCGGCAATGAAGGAAGGACATCGATCACACAGACATTATAATGAAGTAAATTGTATATTAAAAAGACTCCTAGAGAAAGGTATCATAGATAAAAATGATTATAAAAGCGTGATTAAAAATGTCAAATAAAGAACAACTATTCGTTATCACCTCAAATAAGTCAGACATTAAATTGTCTCTAGATTATGAGTACGAACTCGATCGCAATCAAGAATATGAATTGGGATTAAAGTATTTCTCTGTTTACAATTCCATTAGAAATATCAACGAAAAAAATAACCAAATAAAAATATCAACAGATAATTGAGTTACGTTCAAAACCATACGTTTACTACCAGGAAGCTACGAATACATAGCCATTAACGAATACCTATCTGAATATGGAGGAAGTGTCAATGGTAAAAACAATATTTAATTCGAAGGTAATTTGAATCTGAACAAAATAAAATTGATATTAAGAAATAATAGTCAAGTTCATTTCAACGTAGAAAATTCATTGAATGCGTTACTAGGATTTGATAAACAAATATACACGCAATCCACTTAAGCACCACACAAAGCTAATATCGAGAATGATATCGATGTGATAAATATACATTGCAATTTGATAAACGGTAGATTTTTCAATAAATACAAACGTCAGATTATTTACAGTCTTCCAACATTCACTGTACCGATAGGATATAGAATTATAGAGAAACCATTTCAAACGACGTATTTACCACTTAATTCCTTTATGATTAAAGATATAAATCTGGAAATCAAAGATGGTAAAAATAGGTTTATAGATTTTGGTAACGAGGAAATTGTTATTCAACTTCATTTAAAACAAAAAAATCAACACTCTTCATTCTCTTCTTGAATAGTAAGGTAATCGAAATCATCAAATTCGTAGTTTTCATCCAAACTCAATTCATCTTTATCACCATAAGAATACATGATTCCTTCATCGTCCGGTGCTTTTCTCTTAACGAGATTCATATAACTTCCTAAAACTTTCTTTTGTTTATCACCATTGTAGAGTGCATACATAAAAGGCGAACCTCATAAGTCATGATAAGCTATTAAGTCATACCGAAGGTGCTCAAATAACGTCACGTCCTTCTTAAGTGATGACCAGGTGGCATTTCATTTATCCTGTGATTCTTTTGTTGATTTTTGGAAGTTTGGTGGTTGACAATTTGTTTCCCGTTCCCGTAACCATTTCAGTTACTAGCTTTCGTTTTTATTCTGTATTTTTAAGTCCATTATCGGTGCGATTGTATGTTTGTTCACCTGTACAATTGTCTACAATTTGGATGATTAAAACTTTGATGAAAACACCTAAACGTTACCTTTCCCTTATCCAGTGGTGTGCATGTTAGTGGGTGAAGGGGACGCATCGACAGCATCCACATTAATATCAACAAATTAGACCAGATATGGAGACACAGGATAGTGAAAGCCTCCATGAAGGAGCTGTGAACAATAATAGTTCCAGTTCAGAACTTAAGTTGCAGACAGAGAATTTCGAAAAGGTTTTGAAGTCTATGTCGAAAGATATACAGTATAGTATGCTTACTGATGACGGTTACGACCACATCTTTGACCTGTATAAAAAATGGTTAGAAGTTTTGGAGAGCTACCAAGTAACCCATCACCAGTACATACAGATAATAGAAGAGGCAGATAGACAATCTTACCTCTACGATCATATTGATTTTCAAAGGGAAATTGATAGTTTCCGAAGATACTCAGAAGAGTGGTTTAAGTTAAACAAACCTACACCGCCTGATGTTAAACCCTCTGACAGTGTGTCTCAACTCAGCAGAAGTGATTCGTCCTCTGTTTCCTCCAATTCAGATTGGGTAAGAGAAGAACAAAAGAGGATAGAACTTGTTGAGAAAAGAAAGGTTTTAGAGCAGAAACAGAAGCTTAGAGAAACTGCAAATTGAACAAAAGGAAAGGAAACAGCGTGATAAAGAGAAACTCGAAATGGAGAAACTTCAGATTAAACAAAAGGTAATAGCAGTAATAGATCAACATCCTCAAGGAGACAAACTCAGAACATAACACAGATACCTATAGAAAGTATAAGCTTACCTACTGATAGTGAAGGTTTCAATAAAACCCTTATCCAGTCATTGAAGCGTCCTGTAGTTGACATCAAGAAATTTGGAGGTGACCCTTCAGAATATCTCTGTTTTGTTAGACAATTGAACACTCAAGTTTTTGCAAACTGTAGTACAGATGAAGAAAAATCTTAACTATTTGGAGTCTTTTACTTATGGACAGCCGATTAAAATAGTAAGAGGATTTTCCTATTTAGGTGGTGAAACTGGCTTTACAGCTGCAATGAAAGAGCTTGGTGAGAGATATGGTGATCCTAATCATATTGCAGAGACTTACATCAATCGTGCACTGAACTTTAAGAAGATTAAATCAGATGATCATGTGTTACTTGATGACTTTGGCATCTATTTGAGTGAATGTTTATACGCGGTTAATAATATTGATGCTATGAAAGTTTTGATTTCGGGGATTTTTTTTTTTTTTTTTTTTTTGAAAAATGCAAAAAAATATATATTTAGGTGATAAATAACGCTAACAATGATGTGAAAAATTATAACAAGTAAAACAAAAACTTACGCAATTGACACGAACCGGTTTTCGAAATATTATCCTTTTTCAAGTGTCGAGGAATGGTTATGAAATGAGATTGAATTTGCGATTCATATAGTAGTCAGTTAATACAGGTTTTTGATTTTCTCAAAATTATTGAGTGAATCATGTCATATCTTTGATCAGTTGAGGATTAGGATTATTTTTGATTTCTTAATTAGTTGAGTCATATCTTTGATCAATTGAGGATTATAGAAATATTGGATTAGATTTTGATTATATCTGAGTAATAAGAAACAAGCTAAGATGCTAAATGACCCTGTGTATGGTAGGGATGCTATTGTGCAGACAATTCTATTAGTAAGAGTTAAAATGATTTAAAGGTCAAATCTAAGCCTGTTACAGGTAAAGTTTTTAACACCTCAGTAACTGATGTAAATTCTGACGGTATCAAATGGAAATATTGTCATTTCAATAATCACTCCATTAGTGAATGTAGAAAATTAGATAAACTCTCAAGAGACGATATAGTTAAGTTTGTATCTAGAGAAAAACTATGTTTTGGATGTCTAAAATCTGGGCATCAGAAGAGTAAATGCTGGAATAAGCAAAGTTGTAGTAAGTGTAAATTTAGACACCCCACTATCCTACATAGTGATTCCTTTAACCATTCAGTAGATAGTAATAATTCTAAGGCTGCTAGTTCCATTAGTACAGATGATAATTCTGCTGA